TGGCAGGTGGGCTTCCAGAAGATCCTGACTCTCACCTACGTGGACAAGTTGATAGACGACGTCCATAAGGAGTTCAGGGACAAGTACCGCAACGAGTTCCAGCAGAAGGGAGCCCTGGGCCTCCTAAATGGCACCTTTGATTTTAAAGATGACTTCATGCGCCTCCTCCGGTACAGAGCTTGGGTTTTGTGTTAAATTTCTGTTTTGAGCGGAGATGGGAGCGGGGGAAGAGCTGAAATCCAGGCTAATGGGTCACCTCCCTGCAGGGATGCAGAGGAGAGCAGCAAAGTCCGAGCTCCCACGGTAATGAAGACGTTTGAGCAGTCTCTGAAATCCCAGAAGACTGTCAAGTGTATGATTGAAACCCGAGGGGAGAAACCAAAGGAGAAGGTCAAGAACAAGAAGAACAAAGGTTCCAAAAAGGATGGTGAGTTAATGGGGAAGATAAATGGGAGGGAAATAAATATTCCAGAGGAATGTGTTGCAGTCTGTGCTTTCCCAATCCTCTTGGAGCTGGACTGAGCTTGTGTTTGGGCTCTTCCTGTCAGGAACTGAAGCTGTGGCAGCACCCACTAAAGCATCTGCGGGTGACAAGCAGCTCTCAGCAGCAGGGGAAAAGGAGGAACTGACCAAGGATGAAATCCTGCAGAAGAACCGGGAGGAATTCTTCAGGAGACACATGAAAGCTGGGGAGAAGTCCAGGTGGGTGATGAGGGCATGGTCAGTCTGCCTGTGCTTCAAACTAGGCCGTGGCTGAATCCCTTCTTTTGGTGACCCCTGGAAACCAGACCTGACTTTCCTGGACCTTATTTCCCTGATTTCCCTCCTTGCTGAAAAAATGGAGAGAAGACACCTGCGTGTCCTGGATGGGTAATAGAACCTGATTTTCTTTGCTGGGACAGCAGAAACATTGGGAGAGGTTGAGACCTGTGTTTAGTGAGCAGACAGCAGTAGTGCATGGATACCTGGCTTGAGGGAAGTGCTGCCATATGGGATTAAAGTTCAGATAAATAAACTCTGGAGATCAGATTGGTCAATTTCTGCCTTTTTGGGTAATCCAGGCTTTTATTTTTCACGTCTCCTAAGGAGGTGATGGCTGCTGCTTCCCTGCACTGAACACAATGTTTCTGGTCTTTGTTCCACCAGATCTCCGAAGCCCGACGCACAGAAGGAGAAGGGGAAGAAGCCCCGGGTGTGGGATCTGGGGAACTCTAATGCCAAAGTACTTGATTACAGTAATTCTGCTACCAACGGCAGCGCAGAGGCTTGTCCTGTGGAGGAGTTTGACCATGACATGGTAAGGAAAAGTCAGGCTCCATTTGCTGTTGTGCATTCTCTGGGATCAGCTGGGCATTATGAACCCAGCCCAGTCTCTGTGCCTGGGTGAGAAGGGATCATGAAGAAACATGAAGCAAGGATTGTGGCACTCAGCTCATAAAGCTGCTTCTTCCCCTTGCAGGCCCTGGGGGATAAAAATCGGGAGCCTGGCCGCCTCTATGACCTGGAGTATGAGAGTGATGATGAAGCTGAAGAGGAAAAAGTTGTTCAGAACCCTTCAAAACCCAGGTAGAGGCTCACACAGCCCTTTCTTGTCACATGGTTGTTGATTTCTCTTCCGTAACTCCTGTTCCAGTCTAACCAGTAATGCAGGAAGCACAAACTGGTGCATTTGTCCTCTCAGGGCAAGTCCTTCTGCATCTAACCTTTGCAGATTATCATTTTCAAACCTCACTGTAACTCCTCTGCTTCTCCACAGTGTGAAGAAGGGTGGCCTGGGGGGCATGTTTGGCATGCTGAAGGGCCTGGTGGGTTCCAAGAGCTTGACCAGAGAGGACATGGACCCTGTGCTGGAGAAGATGAAGGATCACTTGATTGGTACATCTGGGTCCATGGTGTGAGGGATTAGTGGCAGTTCCCTGTGCTCTGTTGGGTGGGCCCTGGTGGGGGTGTCCATGGTTTGGGATATTCTTGCCCACAGGAGCTGTGGTGGGTTCCTTTCTCACCCTTGAGAAGCCCTCGAGAGGGCAGCAGTCAGGTCTGGTGGGAATCCTGCACACTGACTCCATCCTTCCCTTGACACCCATGTGGGGTGTACATAACCTTCTCAGCAGCACTGACTCCCTGTTCTGTCTTTCTCAAAGCTAAAAATGTGGCAGCTGAGATCGCAGTGCAGCTCTGTGAATCTGTGGCCAAGAAACTGGAAGGGAAGGTGATGGGAACGTTCACCAGTAAGTGCCTGTGTGGCATCCCGTGTGTGGTTTGGAGCTCAGGAGTGTTCCCCGTGCGTGACACGTCCTCTTTCCATCCCCTTTCCCAGCGGTGACCTCGACGGTGAAGCAGGCGCTGCAGGAGGCCCTGGTGCAGATCCTGCAGCCGCAGCGCCGCGTGGACGTGCTCCGCGACGTCATGGACGCCCAGCGCCACCGCCGGCCCTACGTCATCACCTTCTGCGGCGTCAACGGCGTCGGCAAGTCCACCAACCTGGCCAAGGTAGGACCAGGACAGGACCCTGGTGTCACATTCATATTTCCTGAAAAATCCCTTTGCCCAGCATTTTTCTCCTGGGAAGCTGAGATGCCCCAAAGAATAAGGAAAACAAATTTATCTCATTTGCTTCTCCTGTGTTTTGCTCCTTTGGAATGTGGTTGGAGATTGGCCATTGAGTCAAAATAATTCACAGCAGAAACCAAATGAAACAATCAGTGCCAAGCTGTGTCGGGACTCTGGAGAGAGTCACGAGTTTCATTATTATCTCTTTAGCTTTCTGTAAGTATCCTTGCTGTATTCTTTAGTATACTATAATATTCTTTAATATAATATAGTATCGTAAAATAATAAATTAGCCTTCTGAGAACATGGAGTCAGATTCATTCCATCCTTCCTTTGTCTGGGCACCCTGCAAGTACAATACCCTGGATCACAGGAGTGGGCTGATGGGGTCAGGCTGTGTAGCTGCTACCAGGCTTTTCTGCTGTGCTGCCTCCTGCAGATCTCGTTCTGGCTCATCGAGAACGGCTTCAGCGTGCTGATTGCGGCCTGCGACACGTTCCGCGCGGGAGCGGTGGAGCAGCTGCGCACGCACACGCGCCGCCTCAACGCGCTGCACCCGCCCGAGAGCCACGGCGGGCGCACCATGGTGCAGCTCTACGAGAAGGGATACGGCAAGGACGCTGCGGGCATCGCCATGGAGGCCATCTCCTACGGTAGGCGCGGAGCTGGGCGCGGGTGGGGCCGGGCCGGGGCAGCGCCGTGCCTCACGCTGCCTCCCTGCCGCCCCAGCTCGCAACCAGGGCTTTGACGTGGTGCTGGTGGACACGGCGGGACGCATGCAGGACAACGCACCCCTGATGACCGCGCTGGCCAAGCTCATCGCTGTCAACGCTCCCGACCTGGTCCTGTTTGTTGGGGAAGCACTGGTGGGAAACGAGGCTGTGGATCAGCTGGTGAGTGTGGAGGCTTTGTTCTTGAGAGACTAAGAGGGAAAAGAACCTGTTTCTGTAGGTTTTACCAGAGAACTGGATGGTGGCAGCACCACAAACGCTTTTCTCGGATCTTTTTCCTCCCTCAGGTCAAGTTCAACAAGGCCCTGGCTGATCACTCCATGGCCCAGACACCGCGGCTCATCGATGGGATCGTCCTCACCAAGTTCGATACCATCGATGACAAGGTAAGGAGGCTGCTGAGGTGACTCTGCACAGAGATTGTCTGACAGTGACTGGAGGGGAGAGACGGGAATTTTCAAACACAGGGCACTCCTGCACTTCCTCCTTGTGTTTAAGCCATTGAACCCAAATTAGGAAGTCTGGTTTCCACACGTGGGGGATGAATGAATGAGAAGCTCCCTGAGGGGAGCAGTGGGTTTCATGGTGCTGCTTGTCCCCGGCAGGTGGGTGCAGCCATCTCCATGACCTACATCACGAGCAAGCCCATCGTTTTCGTTGGTACCGGACAAACCTACTGTGATCTGCGAAGCCTTAACGCCAAGGCCGTGGTCGCAGCGCTCATGAAGGCCTAAACACCAAATCGCTGTGTGCAGATGTCCCAGAAGAACCTGCTTTACCCTGTCACCAACTAGTCTTTCCCGTGTAGTGAAGAACAGAATGGAGGAACAGCAGCATGAGGAGTACTTTTTTTGGATAAACCCGCTTTTATCCGGAAAAAGCCCGTCCCTGGGTTCCTCCATTCTGTGTCCAGTGACACAGGCTCCCTTGCGGGGAAGCCGAATCCAGAGCTTTGTATTGTTCGTGCTGCACGGGGGCGTGGGCGGTGCCAGGATCTGCTGTGCTTTTTGGTGGGTTTGAAGGCTTTCTATTGAGCTGCTTTTGATTTTTAGACCAGCTTAGGGAGGAGGCAGGAGGGACTTGGAATTAGGGGCAGTGTTAGATCTGGCTGTTAATGCTGCTGCTCGTAGCAGCTCCACCGAAGCTGATAAACCAAAAAAAGGTGATGGCCTGTGTGAGCTGGAGGGGACATGCTAAATTGCCTTAAAGTCCCCCATATCTGTCCTCACCCGGACTCTGAAGCAGGGTCCCCAGACGCCATGTATTTGGCTAGGAGCTGGAGAGCTGCAGCAGCCAGGTCCAGAGGAGGAAGGCAGCGTGCCCTGCCTGGCCCCTGCCCACTGGTCTTGGCGTTATTTGCTAGTAAAAAGGAAAAAAAACCAAACCACATTAATACTGGAAGAGAATGGTGGCTGCTTGCTGCTTTCCTGCCCTTTCTCCCCGCTCCGAGTGCCTCTTGATCCCGGTTGGAAGTGCTACACTGAGTAATACAAACCTCTGACGATGTCTTGTAGCTCTGTATTGCAGATGTGCTATAGTGCAATAAATTGAATGCTGTCTGCTAAGAGACATAATTTATATAAAATAAACTTCATAATTTGTTCTCTGTGTATAAATAACTTGCCTCCAGCCAGGACGTGTTTCCTACTGGGTTGGGGGGAGATGAACTCCCAGCAGTGTGAGGTGTGAAAGGGCCTTTAAATGATACAGCAGCCAAAGTTCAGTGAGCAGGCCTTTAATACAACTTCAACATACAAAATACTGTACAGTAAAAAGACAGGACTAGAAAACTAGAGCTTCCAGTAAAAAAAAAAAAAAGCTCAAGTTTCATTTTTTAATTGAAATACAGAATATAAAAGCACTAGGTATGAAGTTAGAGGAGGCTGCAGCTTCCTCAGGGATACCGTGCTCTGCAGGCACGTGCAGCCTCATCAAACCACGATTACTGTGTTAGACCAGGTGTTCATCTGTGGTGGCTCCATCCTGGCCTCATCCCTGCCGGGAGGGTCCTGGCTTGGTGCTGGACACAGTGGGACAGTGCTGGGCTCCTGAGGGCTGCTGGCCTGGCCCAGGAGCCCCTGGCACAGCTCAGGGCCTGGGCAGGGCTGAGGATCAGGGGCTGCATCCTGCATGGAAGCAAAGACTGAAAACCTGCCTGGGACTCCAGGGGGCAACCCAGGGTGAAGCCCCTTGGCTCCAGAGAGCCCTCCTTACCTTTTACCTCAGCGTGGGCAGTGGCAGAGCCGTTCAGCTGCTGCCCCTCCTTGGGCACACCTGGGGCAGAGCAGAGACCAGTCTGAGGTGCAGAGCCAGCTGCTCATGTGCTGGTTTCACACAGGCTTTCCTTTCCTGCTGGGTTAACCCTCAGAACACCTGGGCCAGTGAACCCACTTTCCCCCATTTTTATCATTTATTAGTGATACCTCTTTTATAAAAGCATTGGCTCAGGCTGAGCAGCACGAGGGTCAGTGAGACTAAATGCCCCTTCACTAAAAAGGGAACAAACAGCTGCACATGAAAAACAAAGTTTGGGAGGCAGGCGTGGGAGGCAGCACAGCTGTTTAAACTGTTAAAACATACAGTGTTTTCAGAAAAGTAACCCGCAGATCCTCTAAGCTACGCTTAGAGACATATTTGCTATTTTTTTTTAAAAAAAAGGCTTCAGGAATCTCTACATAGCATGGAGAACGGGGGCTACTAGCCCTGTCTGCCCTGCGTGGTGCCAGCCAAGGGTCGCCCAGCCCCCAGCCCCGTACCTGCGCGGCCCCGCATGGCAATCTCGCTTGTCAGCCGCTCGAAGTACTCGGGCAAGTCAGCGTATTCGTCTCCGTAGGAAATCACTTTGATCCCTTTGTCCAGCATGTTCTCACGGAGCTTCTTGAACTCATCCACATCCCCCCTCCGCACCAGCATGAAGTGCTCCAGGTCTGACTTGTGCTTGACAGCCTCTAAAAACAGGGCCTGAAACGTGGTGTCATCAACTGTCCAACCACAGCCCAAGAAGAGGAAGGACTTATTCTCATACAGCTTCTGAATCTCTCGCTTTAAGAAAGGGAAAGATGGTCAAGGTGAGCTTCATCCTCACAAGAGACAGCACCTGCCCTACCCCTGGGGAGGCTCTGCAGCAACGCCATCCTTCAGCAAGTGTGGGAAGTGTTCCAGCACTTTAGCAGCCAGGCAATTCACCCCTCCTATTTCCCATTTCTAATTAATTCTCCCCCACCCTCTGAAGCTCAGTCTGAACTGAGCTGAGCTGTTGGCCCAGGGGGAGCTGCAGCCCCGAGGGCTGGCCCCAGCGTGGCTCACCATGACCTCGGTGTTGCGCAGCACGTTCTGGTAGCCGGCCGGGTGCAGGACGATGCCGCTGGGGTTGGTGTAGACGCCGTGGATGTGCAGGACACTGAGCTTCCTCTTCTCCTGTGCCCACTCCAGCACCTGCACAGCAAAACCCGCAGCAATGTCTGTGAACACATCACGTTGGTGCCCACAGCACTGCTAAATGTAACATTTTGGGGAAACGTTCCAAAGAGGCTGCTTCTTCCTCATCTTCTCTCCTCCATCAGCCTCTACACCGTGGCCTGCAGCCACAGCCTGTGGTGCTCGTTTGGGTCAACACTTCAGATAACTGGTGAACGTGATGAGAAGACTGAATCAAAATGCCAGATTGACCAGAAAAATGGGAAAAAAACAACAAATCCTACGTCAGCATGTTTCTCAAGCCTACCAAGTTTTATTTTGTGGCCCCTACTGGCTCTGAGGGAGTCATCAGCTGAGCTGACCTCCATTTCAGACAGCTGCTTCCCAGGCTCTCGGTTTACTCCTGCAGACCTCAGCTCGTTTAAGCTTGCAATAATTAGAATGCTTACTTGTAACACTGTAAGTACTTCCAGCCATGTAGATTAAGAGGTCACGGAGGAAACGTGAAGCACAGAAATGAGAATGAAAAGAGAGCAAGGACTGCACAGGACACAGACATTGGGGGTGTTTAACATGCAAACAGAAGGATGAGATGCTCCCCACCAGTAAAACCCATGATGGAGAGATGAGGTGGGCAGGTGCAGAGTTCAGGGTTTCACAGCCTGACTGGGGCAGGAGGAGGGATTTTTGCATAAAGAGAATAGCTCTGAGAGTGCTGCAGGAGGAGCCATTCCAGCCATTGCAAGAAGAGGACAAGGGGCAAAAGGGGAGCCTTGAAGGCTGCAGCCCTGGACACCCACCACAAAAAGCACTTTGCAGCACCTTATAAAAATAAAAAGGTCAGCTTTGCATCTCGTGTGGAGTTTCTCATATGGGCTGGAACATCAACCCGAGCCTTATGTGGAAGCAAGGCCAAGCCAGAAGTTTCAAGGACAGAGATCAAAGGAATAGCAGGCTTAAGCACTCCTCCTGAGCACTGGATGGCAGCCAGCAAACCAGCGGTCCAGAAAGGAGCATTCCTCCTCATTCCTCTGCTTGCTGCCCTGGACAGAGCCTCTGCCTGGAGCTTGTCTGCCACCAGTTAAACCACTATAATGAGTACAATGTCCTCAGGCACCATGAGAGCACATTCTGCACCACCAGAGTCCCTGACAAAAGAAATAATAATCTTTACCTTCTTTTCATCAGTCAGGTCAAGAGACTCAAGGTGCTTCCCTTGGTGTGCTGCATAGAGCTCCAGCAAGTTATCAAAGTTTGTGGTCAACACAAGGGCCCCGTTTTCCATCAGGTGAAGCACAGACTGAAGCAGCTGCTTCCCAGAATCTTCCATTTTGGATTCCAGGTCATCAAACACCTCGTATAAACAGTCCTTGAAAAAGGTTGAGCGAACGTTGCTTGTGCGCTGAGAAGGGGAGAGATGGAGATCAGAGCCAGCCCTGTAACACCTCACACCAAATGACCCCATGAAAAACCACCCACACTTCCCCAACGCCCTGCGAAGCTCTGGGTCCTTGCAGGGCAAACACAGAGCCTTGGCTGCACCAGGGTGGGTGCTCTCCTTCAGCATAGTTTTAGGATCACAGAATCCCAGACTGGTTTGGGTTGGGAAAGACCTTAAAGCCCACTGTGCCATCTCATACCACTCTGTGCCATGGGCAGGGACACCTTTCACTGTCCAGGCTGCTCCAAACCCCTCCAGCCTGGCCTGGAACACTCCCAGGGATGGGGCAGCGACAGGTGCTCTGGGCAGTCTCACCACCTTCACAAGGAAGAATTCCTTCCCACTATCCCATCTAACCCTGCCCTGTGGCTGTGTGAAGCCATTCCCCCTTGTCCTGTCACTCCAGGCCCTTGTCCACAGTCTCTCCCCATCTTTGTCAGCTCCCTTCAGGTATTGGAAGGCCACAATTGGGTCACCACTGAAGCCTTCTTCTCCAGGTTAAACAATCCCACTTCTCTCAGCTTTTCCTCACAGGAAGGTGCTCCACCCTTTAATCATCTTGGTACAGGTGACATACCCAAACCCCACGCCCACAGCAGGGTTATGTCTCAGGCACCTGGCACAGTAAGTGCACCTGTGGCTCCATGTACACAGAGGAATTGTTGGGATGGGGCACCATTGCTGGAGAACCAGATCTGGCTATTTCCAAAAGCCAGATGCTATGCTCAGGGCAGGTACAAGCACACTGACCGGAGACAGCTTCTGAATAAGGTCGTGGGCAACGTGGACCAGGTTCTTGTCTTCATGTAGACACTTCTGGAACCGTTTGCTCTCTTCATCTTCCAGGAGATCAAAGTCAATAGCAGCATCCAGGAGAGCCTGAATCAGCCCCTTCCAGGATTTCAGCGCTGGGACCTGGGGAGCAACTGCAGCACTAATTCCTGTCCCAATCACCAAAACAAGCTCCCGAGGCTTCTTGGTTTTGAGACTTGGCAACAGCTTCCTGCAAAAGGAGAAAGGAGCACAGCTGGCACCACCATGAGTGGAAGGGTGCCTGGGGTGGTGGCACACAGACTGAGGGAGAGGGGTGTACCCAGTGCCTAAATTTTAAATATCCAGTGGGGCTCTCTGATAAAAAGAGCATGAGAGGAGCAGCTTGGTATCCTTAAAGGACAGCAGGCAGCTGCATGGATCAGCAGCACAAATGCTCCCTATACGAGGTCCGTAATTACAACAATTTTGGGAATCAAATCTGTTACCAGGATGGTTACTGGGGAAGTCAATGATGCCCTAGGGTGCTTCTGCAGCAAAGCTAATCCACTAAAAATCTGGAATAAGGGAAGTCTATTAATAAAAGTTACATGGAGGGCTGGAGGGCATGGGAAAGCATGAGAGAATGAGACACACACACGCTCTGTGTCCCGAGATAAAACGTGTCAGATCCCATGCAGGTCCGAAATGAGATCTGGTTTAAACAAGGTGCAGAACAGGGGCCTTGAGACAAAGCTCCACTTATCCCAGAACAGACAAAAGCAAGGGAAGGCTTCCTCCTAGCTCTGCCCTGGAGGGGCCCAGCCCCAGTTTGCTGAGGAACCCCCTCAGCTGTACCAGCAATCCCTTCCCTGTGATGCCTGTATGTCAGCAGGATGCTCCAGGCCAATCTTCTGGAATATCCCAGATGATACAGAGTCACATGAAAGGGCTGCAGGGCTGTATTCTCCTCATTCCTCCTCCCTTCCTCCCTATTTTCCTGGCTTTACACCTGCACAGAGCTTTTAAACATGACCTTTATCATTTATTGAGCAGATGTGCTGCTCCTTGCCTTGCCTTGCCTGGTGTCCAGCTGCTTTCTGCAGCGGGGACCTGCTGCAGCTTCCCAGGATTGGAGCAGCAGCCTGGGAAAGCAACTTGTACAGAAGAAATGGGCTTTATCAGCAAACACGTGATATTTAGTGAGAAGGGGAGAGGAAACCAACACCACACAGATGGAGCTGTGCCTTCCCTCAGCCCCTGCCTATGAAAACAGACTTGTTAACCCTTTCCTCGAGGAGGGCTTCACTGTTACTGCTGATAAACAGGGCTTAATTTGAGGACTGCAAGCCTTATGTGAGGAGTAAATTAGTATTCAGGCTAAAGAGCTAGTACAAAAACACTATTGGAAATACAGGGACTGAAATCCAAAATAATAACAAATACCCAAGTCTTAATGTCCTGCATGCCTGCCCTGCTGATAAATGCACTTGTTTCTACCTTGATATCCTGAGCAAGGAAAAAATCATCCCCCAGTGTCTCTTCTGCACATTCCAGGGTCACCAATCAACCTCGAGACCACACAGAACTATCCTGCAGCCCTCCAGAACTTGCAAATCAATCAAATTAGTGGGAGACAACCTCCCAGCTGAATTAGCTGCCTGTTCACAAGAACTTTTGAGCCTGCAGCAGCCACAGTCTGAGTCTCTGACAGACAGAATTATCCACCAGTCAGACTCCACTCACAGAATTGTAAGACCACCTACTTCCAAGCACAGGGAGCCTCAAAGTGAATTATTTAGCCTTCACATGCAGTTCAACCATACTAATTTGAGTAACTCCTTGTCCTGGAAACCACCACCCAACTCAAGTGAAAAAGCACAACCACTGTGTCCAAGCTGACAGCGAGTTGACAGGACCATGGAGACAGGACAGCAAAATACAGCCATGAGAGCAACCCCATTCCCTGGCTGAGCGTTAAAACCCCAAAAAAGAACATTCTGGGTGTGAAGGTGTTTGTTCCACAAACAGCAGGAAAACCCAGGGCATGGCCAGAAGCCAGCACACAGTTCTTGGATCAGGAAACCAAACAGCCACGGTCGCCAGGGGTCACAATCCTTAAAGAACAATGCGAGGCAAAGGAAAAGGCTCTTGTTAGAACAAACTCACTGGAGCATAATTAAACTTACCTGGGCTTTTTTGCAGGTGGCATTCCATCTTCCAACAATGTTTCCTTGCCCAGGCTCACCGTAGAAGCCATCCAGTTTCTGTAGCAGACAAATCACCACAAGCCAAGTCACTGCACAAGGACAACACCACCTGGACAACAAGGCTTTACAGACCCAGCTTTGCACAGGTGGATCAATCTCAGCTTTGTTATCGTTCCAAGATCACCTCTGGGCTGAGAATTGCATGTTTTCGTCTCTGAACTTTGTCCCACAGCCTCATCCTCTTCCTTAACCTCTTTTACCATAAAATCCTTGGCTGTTTTTCCCAGGTGTGGTTGCCTCAGCAAAGCACACTTTGCCAGACCCTCCGTTTCACCTCAGCCGCTCGTTTTCCGCGAGAGCTGGATCCTGGAGCAGCACTCCCCCCTTCCCGACAAGGCCTGTCAGCAAACTTGCTGCTTGGGAAACAGTGGGAGGGAAGAGAAGACAAAGAGATTTTTGTTGGCTCCAAAAAGCCACGGAGAGCATTTCATTCCCTGGTGATGAGAGAAGGGTTTCCCCGCCCGCTGTGAGTCCGCAAGCACTGGGAAATGACCTTAAAGCCCACGGAAAGGAAGTGCACTTTGAGAACTCTTTCAACAGCCCGTCACATAAAATACACAAGCTCTGCCAGCACGCAGTACTCTCCCACTCTGCTTCTCCCAAATAAGTCTATGAAAAGGGAATGAAAATGAACAGAACTGTTCACCCTCCTCTGCTTTTTCCTTGCCAGTTGCAATGAAGAGTCCATCAAAAACTCTGCTAGACAAGGGCTTTTGGCCAGAGGAAATGCTGAGGAAGAGCTGCTGACTCAAAATCACTGAGTTTTTGCTATCTCAGGGAGATCCGAGGGTTTGTTCTAGAGGTGCCATGCCATGATTGCCCCCTGGCAGCCCAGCAGGTGACTATGGGCAGGTCTCTCCAGGCAGGACCTGCAAGTGCTGGCATGGATCATGTGAGAAATCAGCCAGCATTCTAGGAAAGCACCACCTTTCAGCTCTGGATGATGAGAACAGGGCAAAGTGACACTGTCAGACGCTCAGATACGCTGTGTGTGCAGCCATTACCCTCTGACCCCTTCGGAAAACTTTATACAATGGCATTCTGGATTGGTTTGGGCTGGACAGGACCTCAGGGCTCGTGTCGTTCCACCCCCCTGCCATGGGCAGGGACACTTGCCACCACACCACCCTGCTCAAAAATAAATCATTGTACCAACAGCAGAACACCTCAGAGAGCTGGTTTTCACTACCTACCTCCTGAAACATTACTGAACGTGTGCTGCTCATCACATCAAATCTTTTTATCTTACTGGGTCTTACTGTAGGGCTCAGATTTTGGATAAAAGTGTCAAAGGCTCTCAGCAAGTGAGGAATCTCCTGGTTTTGCCCCCTCTGTGCATGCCAGGCAGGGCTCCTCCATCACACCCTCTTGTGAACATTGTACCCTGTATTTTTCCAAGCCACACTGAGCCCAGGAGCTCAGTGCTGTTCTGACAATGAATCTCTGCAGCCTCATCCCCCCTGAATCCCTGCAGCCTGTCAGGCCTCATGGTGAGCTGTTTTGGGGGGTTACATCTCCAAAGACCACAGCAGACTCTCGGGAAGAGAGGAGGACCTGCTGGACACAGATCTGTCAGATTCACCATCAAGTCCCCGCTGAGTGAAGGCAGCCAAGCACAGTCAGGACAAAGGGGGGAAAGCCCCTTTTTCCTTCCCAGGAGGGTCCCACCTCTCCTTTTAGATTCTTCTGGAAGGACAGGCTGCTTCCACAAAGCCAGCCAGATTTTATTTAGTGGTGCAAAGATGCTTTAAATGAGGCAGGGACTAACAACAGACAACTGGAGTGTTTCAGAGGGAAGTTTGAGCTCCTGATGGTGCCAGGTCTGCCCTCAGCCCCGGGCAGAAGCAGAGCTACAGCCGAAGGTAAATCCTTCCTTGCTTTCTAAATTGGATATAATTTAAGCTTATAATTATCTTTGCATTGTGAATCACCAGCTGAGCCTCGAATATCAAGGTTGTTTGTAAACTCCCACCTAGAGCTCCCCTGTTTGCTTCCACCTGCCTCAGCACTGCTCCCATCTCACTCACCCTGCACATTCCCATGCTATTAACAGCAGGAATGGAGCCATCAAATCAATTTTAAGTGCCTCTAAATGACATTTCAAAAGCAATTTTAAACTTAGGAAAAAACACCTTTTGGAATTATAATCACCTTGTAAGGTTTTCTGATACAATGACCTTCAACCTTCAGGTCTATTACTTAGTGGAGAGAGCCATAAAGGAACAAAAACCCCATTATAAATACAGTCTAGTTCCAAAAAAAAGTTATTACAGGTCTTTAAAAGAATTCATGGGGATTCAGCCAAGAAATAGAAACCTCTGGTTTTCAGTCCTGGGGAGAAACTCTGCTTGCCAGAGGGACGGATCGTGCTGGCACAGCTGAGGTAGCCAAAATTAAATGGAATTACCACAGAGCATGACACTGCCATGGGAAAAAAACACAGCAGGTACTGCAGGTTCCCCCTGGGAACACAGGTACCACGGAGGAGAGGGAGCCACAGGCACTCAGAAGATAAGAAGTGTCTCTCCAGCCTTCTTCAGACACTGGGAACTTTCCAGCTATTTAGACTACAGGGAGCTGAAGACTGTAAACACAACACTCCATGGATTCCTGGCCAGCTGCCCCATTTCCCTGCCCCAGCCTTGTCCCCATCACTTTTATCAGGATTAAAAGACTCCCTGTGTGGGTTTGCTGTGTTCTCTTTCTCCATCCACACCACAGAAATCCCTTAATTTATCCTAAAGCCTTCCAGACTTCAGCTTTAAACTGTGCCCAAGTCACCAAAACTGGAGGAACCCAACCACAGCAGCTCCCTGTGTGACACAGACACATCCAGCTGCAGAAACGTTGGAAATATGAAGGTGTATCCCAGGTAAAACAAACACCTGAGCACCACGTGTGTCAAAGGAAGGCCGAGGTTCACACAGGGTGTGTATTTACAAAAACCTCTCTGCAGCTCTGCAAAGCACAGTCAACACCAGAGCCCAACCTGCAGAACCAAAACGGGGAATGAAGGGAACATTTTCTCCCCCACCTCAAGGAGAAGTCGCTGCTGACACCATCTCCATGCCCAGCACCCAACACAGAACTGAAGCTACACGTGGATATTCAGAATTGAAGCCAAGTGATCCAGCACCTCGCTGGAAGATGGGCTCTTCCAGAAGAGCGCCCACAAATTCCCAAAAGAAACAAGTACAGACCTACTGCTCATTCATTATTTTCAGTTTATTTGGGCGCTGAGAACTGCCACCAGCAGAGATGTAATTCCCAGCTTCTCTTCAGTTCAGCGCCTTTAAGGTGCTGGGATAAGACAGTGTAAAAGGCACTTTGTTTCAGCTGGAAGTTGAGCTGTCCCTGGCCAATTCCCAAACCTACCCCTCCACGTGGGAACTGCGCTGGAGCCGGATCAAAACCATCCTAGAAAAACACAGGCTCCAGGGACAAAGGGACCGAGGACAAGCCCTGCTCCTGCCCAAGCCACAAAAACAGGATTCACCCTCCCTGGATGTGAGACAAAACACAGCAGAGGATTTTATCCAGCGCTGTGATTCTCCACGTGCTTCCCAAGGGCTCCGCGAGCAGGGAGAGGCAGTGACACAGCAAAGGCCGGAGCTGTGTCCCACAGGCACACGCCGCTGCTCCAGAGCCGGCTCTGCAAAGGGAAGCGGGCTCACACCGCGGGGTCTGCTCACCTTCGCCCTTACCTGTGCTCTCCGTTGTGCCCTGCTCGCTACAGCTGCGGGAAAAGCAACAACACGGGCATTCAGCAGGCGGGGAGACTCCGACGCTCCTTCCCCAGGGGGACGCATCAACACAAAACAGCTTTATGGAGGGCGGCGGCGCGGCGGGGAGGCTTCCCGGCTCGCCCCCGGCTCGCCCCGGCCCGGGGCCAGGCGTGGGAACGCGGCGGTGTTCTCGTGGCGCTTTGCGGGGCCGGGGGAGGCGCGGGCGCATGCGCGGTGGCGGGCCGGGCCGGGAGGCGGCGCTGAGTGGGTCTGTCTGTCCGTCCGTCTGTCTGTTTGTCTGTCTGTCTGTCCGTCCGTCTGTCTGTTTGTCTGTCTGTCCGTCTGTCTGTTTGTCTGTCTGTCCGTCCGTCCGTCCGGGCCCGGCCGTGCCCCCCTGTGCCCCCCCACCCCTCAGGGGCTCCTCCTCCGCCCGCCGCCGCTGCCTGGGCCGGGTTGGTGCATGTGCGACCGCGCCTCCAGCCCCGTGAGGTGCAGGCGGTGCCTGGGCCGCTCTGATGCCTTCAGGCGTACGCGTGGCGGAATTTGGGTGTGCTTAGAGCTTTCCAGGAGGAAAACGGTTCTGTTTTCCGGGCGGCTGCGCGCTGTTGTGTACTGGCACCGTAAATGAAACATTCGTGGTTTTTAGGGACGAAATTAGCCGTGTGTTCTCACCAGAACCACCTTTATTTCACCCTGCCTTGCAGCACCTGGTCTTCACCGTTTCTTAATTCCTCAGGCAGTCCTGCAAACCACGGGCTGTGGAAGTGCTGCTGCAGGGATTTCAGCAGGGTGCTGCTGTGAAGAGAGCCGTGCCTGCTTAATTACTCCATTAATAATGAGTATATTATTGCTGAGGTAGGGTGGAGGTTGATCCCCATGGTGCTGCCTGTTGGGTTTAGGGTTTGTGGGTTCACCCTCACCCAGGTTCCCTCTCTGGGGTTTCCAGGTGGGGTGACTCACACAGACAGGTGACGTGCCCTCCTCTGGGTCCTGCCCTCGGGTGAGGAGTGGATTTTTGGGGTGGTGGCAGTAGGTCAGGGCAGGGACTAATGGGAAATGGGTCCCAGTGGGGTGAGTGGTGCTGGGCCCATGGCTGGTGGAGCCTGTGGGTCCCTGTGGGGCTCGGCACCACCCGGCCTTGTGCTTTTTCCTTTGGGATTTGGCCACCAAGTGGCCAGCTGGTGTCCCCTGCTTGGTGGGCCAAGGTAGTGGCAGGGAGTGGGGAGGAGCCCAGTGTCTCTCAGGGAATTCATTGCATTTTTCATTGCATTCATTGCATTCCTCTGGCTGTTTGAGGGTGGGCTGGGGGCCTGCAGGAGGATCCTGCCTGCTCCTGCACCCCCAAGGTGCCTCCTGGGGCTTAGAGATGGCCTGGCTTGGGAAATCCTTGGGGATGGGGAGGTGTTTATGGCAAGGGGTCAAAGCCATCAGGGAGCCCCCCATTTCACATGGTTTTGTGTTCTGTGCTACTGTGCCCTGGTCTGTTTTGCTGAGGGTGGTGGGTGAGTGGACATGGAAATACCTGTGGAAGCCACAGCCAGGTGCTGGCATGGAGGAACATTTGTGTCCAACAGGAGCTCTTCAGAGACCTGTGGGACACAGAAGTGGTTTGGGCATGAGGTCCCCAAAAGCTTGACAGGTGCTGGTGGGGTTGGGGGATCTCCTGACCTTCAGCCCTCCCTCCCAGGAGACTCCAAGGTCCCTGGGGGGGAGGAAGCAAACAGCAGTGTGCTGAGCAAGGAGGTGATTCAGCCCTGGGGCACAGCTGGCTCGTGGTGGCACTGAGGAAGGGGAGTCTTGACTAGCCCTGGCATGGGGTGTTGAGGTTAAATGGGGTGGGGGGATATTTTTGGGAGTCAGAGGACATGGGACTTTTCCCTGAGGGAAATACTTCCCTTCAGGCAGGGAGGTGTGGGGGTTGTTGTCCCTGTTGCAAGCAGATGGGGGACACTGGGGTGTGCTTTGGGGGCAGGTGCAGCAGTCCTGAAACTGGGGTGATGGGCACTGGGCAGGGACTGCCCTCTCCATGAACGTGGTGAGCATGGCCATCTGTCCCTTGCCAGCCCTGCACAGGCCAGTGCTTGGAGCTACCTGGACTGCTGGAAGGGACCTGGAACAAGATGATCTTTAAGGTCCCTTCCAACCCAAACTGTTCTGGGGTTTTATGATTCTCCCTGCTGAGGCAGAGGTGAGGACCCACCTGGGTGGGCTCTGGCCCAGCTCCTGCAGGCTGGGGACCCCACAGTGTACAGTGGGGTGTGATGGCCACCACTCTGCTTCAGGGTTCACAGTGAGGGAGATGCTGAGCCAGCTCTGTGCTCTGGTCCACGCTGGGCTCACTCTGGAGGTGCTCCCGTGTGAGTGCCAGGGCCAGCTTCTCTGGGGATCCCAGGTCAGGGGGCCTGGCTGTTATCCAGGTGAGGACTCAGATGGGAGAGGGGGGGACACATTCAGCACCAGGGCTGGACCCCCCAGCCCCCTCCTCCTGGTGTCCCACGGGGTGTGGGACACATGGATCACCTCCACACTGTGCTGGGCCACCGGCTTGGGCACAGTGACACTGCAGCAGCAGGTGGAGGGTTTAGTGTGCACTTCAGAGGCCCAGGCATTGTCCCCTAGGCAGGGAAGAGATGGGGAAATCTCCTGTGCCAGGAACAGCCTGTCAGGGAGCTGGATGGGCCTGTGGGCCCTGGAGACCTGCCAGATTCCTGGGGGATGGAACTCACCTGGAGCTCAGCTCTCACAGGGCACAGAGGAGGAGCCCCCAGGCACTGGAGGGGTTGAGGATGATGAGGAGATGAAGGCAGTGTCAGTTGTTGGCCACCACCAGCAGCACCAGGGGAACGAGACCTGGGGAAGGAGAAATAAAGGGGGGATTTTGGGGTGGAAAAAATGACTGCTAGGTAAATTTAACTTGCAAAATAAATATGAGTGGCAAACGTGGACCTGTCTGTATGTAGTCAGGAAACCAGAGAGGAAAACAGATATGGGTGCTGCTGAGGGCTGGGCACTGTGACCGCGGGCAGTGACGGCATGGGGCGGATGTGGGAGGGAGGCCCTTGCCAGGGCTTGGCTTCCCCTCCCTGCAGCCCCAGCCCATTTATCCTGCCTGTGCTTTCACATTCCCCAGCAGAGGCGGGAGCTGCTGGCAGCTGGGGGCCCCTGGGTGTTCGGGGAGCTCCTCCACTCTGTGCCTGGGGAGGCAGGTGGGTGCCCCTGCCCTCCTTTCCACCCCAGGGAGCTTCACTGGGAATTGCTCCTGGATGTGGCAGCTGCAGGGATGGATCAGCCTCGCCATTCACTGCAGATCCCATCAGACTGAGAGTGACCATCCTGCCTGTCCTTTCCCACCCAGGTAATCCCAGAAGATCTTCCTTTGCCAAACCCAGGGGCTGATGCATCCCCTTCCCTGCTCCAGTGCTGGACTCCTGCATTCCAGGTAAGCATCCCTCCAACTTCCCCTGCTGCTCACTGTCCGTGCTCATTGTTCCACTCACACTTGGGCTTTTGGCTGTCACTGAGTGGTGACTCTTGGGCACTGTGGTTTCCGTGGGTGTGCTGGGGTTTTGTGGGCATTTCCTGCAGTCCTGGGCTGGTTTTGGAGTAGGGGAAAGGCTTCAGCATGACTTGGGGTGTTTCATTTTGGAAGGGGTGATGCCAGCAGTGGAAAACAGCAGCTGTTTGCCACATTGCTGTTCCTGGGTGTCTGCAGGGAGTGTCTGGGCTCCCTAAACCATGCTGGGAGCACAGTGCTGAGGAATCTGTGAGCTGGCAGGGAACACACAGGAATGCCAGGGCAGGCATCACCCACACTGCCTTTGGTTTGCCAGCACCCAGTCCATCCCGGGTGTTCCCAGCTGATTCCCACTTCTCCCCTCCACAGGATCCTTTTCCCACTGATGGGAATGAGGGTTTCTCCTCCCCATTCTCTCTTGGCCTCGCTTGCTGCAGGTGTGTATCTCCAGTGGAGAGAGCCAGTAAGAGGTAAGTGTTCCTTGCCAGCACATTTTGGGGAGGCAGATGTGCTGGGGGTGACTTTGGGGCTGTAAGAGCACCCCAGAGGTGCAGATCCCTGGAACAGACTGGGCTGAGACCTGCCATGAAGCAGTTCTTGCTCTCAGTTTGTGTTCCTCTTTTCTGCTCTCAGGAGAGGTGTCCTGCTGGCAGTCAGTGGCTGAGCAGCGTGCTGCCCACTATGGCTGGTGAGTCTGGGAATAACCTGGCTCTGTCCCCTCCCTCACAGCATCCCTTCCCCTACAGAACACCAGGGTGCCCATGGGCTGCTCCTCACGATGCCTCAGCATTCAGGTGTTGGTGGCAGCTCAGGTTCAGGGACCAGGATGGTTTTGGGGGTCAAGGTGAGATCCTACCCACCCACCCCTTTCTACTGGGGGCGTCCTGCAGATTGAATGATGCTGTGCTTGGGAAGTCCAGGGGTGCTGAACCCCCAAAACTCACTGTGACCTCACTCTGCAGGTTGGTTTAGGCGGCTCCTGCACAAACCCAAGCCCAGCTCAGCGGAAAGCCTCAAGTCCAGCCACTCTGCTTCATCCTCCCCTTCCTCCTCCTCCTCCTCGTCCTCTGCCAAGAGCTCCAGCTCTTCTCCTGGCACGAGCCTGGCCACCAGCTCCATCTCCCTGTCACCCGTGTCATCAGTGGACATCAGCGCCTCCGACAGTCCCCGGTGGGACAAGAGCTACGACGTCTGCATCTGCCACAGCGAGGGGGACGTGGAGCTGGTGCTGGAGCTGGTGTCCTACCTGGAGGGGCAGCCCGAGAGCTTCCGCTGCTTCCTGCAGCTGCGGGACGCGGCGGCGGGCAGCGCGGTGGTGACGGAGCTGTGCGATGCCGTGCAGAACAGCCACTGCTGGGTCATGCTCATCACCCCCGGCTTCCTGCAGGACCCCTGGTGCAGGTACCAGATGCACCAGGCCTTGGCCGAGGCTCCCATGGCCAACGGACGCACCATCCCGGTGCTGAAGGACGTGGATCGCAAGGATTATCCCAGGGAGCTGCGGAACATCTACTACATCTACATGGCGCTGAAGGAGAAGAGCTTCAGGCAGATCAGAGACACTGTCATGCGCTGTGAGTAGCCTGTGGGGTGCTGGTGAAACGTCACTCCACTGGGGTGAGGACCGTGGGAAGGGGCCAGATTCCATACATTTATTTAAAGCTGATTTTTAGAGTAACTGTTTGCTAATGGAGCTCATCTGCTGTCCCTGCAGACCTCCAGGACCTGTGCCGGAGCTCCACAAAAAGCATGGAGTAGTGCTGGGAGAGGAAGATGCATCCCCATGGGCATCTCGGAGCTGTCACCGTTGGATCTGGGTGTTGGCATGTCCCGTTGGACCTTGAGCTCAAACCTGAGGTGCTCAGACCAGACCTGGCACCAAAGATAGGGAGCTCTCCACATCCATGAGGGACAGCAGACCGGAGTCCACCACGTCCTGGTGGCCAAAATCTCCTCAGCAGGGACAGGGCCATCCATCACACAAACACTAAGCTCTGGTATCGGGTGGTTCTTGGGGTCATGAGAGCTCTTTACTGCCCTGGCATTCTCTGTCCTGAGGGTCCAGGACCCCTACTAAGCTGACAAGGAACCTGCTGGGCGCCTGTGGGCAGGACGAGATGAGGCAGGCGGTGACGCTGTACGGAGTCGTTGTGACTACGAAAATGCAGAAGTTTTAAATGTTGGTGGTTTTCCGTGATTTTGTCTCAGTCCCCGGTTCGGGCGCTTGTGGGAGAGGGAGCGGCGGGGCTGCGCGACCTCCGAGCCGCCAGGGGGCGCCATGTCCCAGCGCGCCCAGAGGCGCCGCGCGTGCGCAGTGCGGGGGCGGGCGCGAGCCATGGCGGAGGGCCCACAGCCGAAGAGGAAGCGCGAGGAGGAGGAGAAGAAAAATGGCGGGGCCGCCACTGAGGGTGGCGCCGCCGCCGCCGCCTTCACGCTGTCGGACCTGCGGGTGCGGCGCGTCCTGCGGGAGTCGGCGAGGGACAAGATCGTCTTCCTGCACGCGGAGGCTCTCGAGTCGGCTGCTGCTGTAACTGAGCCGGGCACAGACCTGCTCTGCCCTGTGAGCCTGTCAGGAAAATCCACAAACGCCAGAGGTTTACGTTTAAAAGGAGATAGAGGAGTCCTTCAGCATTATTTGAATGCAGTGAGAGAGTCCACTGGGCCACATACCCGCAGGATTTTTTCTTTTTTTTTTTTTTCTTTTCGCAGTTCTGGAAGGCAGCCTCCCTTTTATCCTAATTCCTGGCCACAGTTGCCTTTCGAGTCGGCTGCTGCTGTAACTGAGCCGGGCACAGACCTGCTCTGCCCTGTGAGCCTGTCAGGAAAATCCACAAACGCCAGAGGTTTACGTTTAAAAGGAGATAGAGGAGTCCTTCAGCTTTATTTGAATGCAGTGAGAGGGTCCACTGGGCCACATGCCTGCAGGATTTTTTCTTTTTTTTTCTTTTCGCAGGTTTTGGAAGGCAGCCTCCCTTTAATCCTGACTCCCGGCCATGTTGCCCTCTTCCTTTCCCCATTGGCTGAGCTACTGGGGAGGTACAGCCTTCCCAAACCACCTGCCCCATATCCCCCTTAAACCTGGCATTTTCCCCAAAGTTCAGAACTTCAGGCTCGTGCAGACCTGTGTCTGATTCAGGAGCCAAACTGTCCAAAGTCGATAGAGACATTAAGACCCATTTCAAAGACATTGACACCTATCAAATTGTTTGTAGAGGCATTAGCACACATCTTCTCAAGCTGACAGGCTTGGGAGTCCCAGGTGAGCCCAGGTGGTGTGCTGAGGCCTCACCTGAGTCTTGTAGGGACAGGAGTGAGGCTGGGGGATGTTCCACACCCAGCACCTCCCAAAGCCAGCACGCTGAGGCCACTGGATTGGGAGCTGTGGTTCCTTGGAGCAGGGCAGCAGTGAGTGCCCCCTGCCCCAGAACTTGCTCCCTGACTGATGCAAACCCCCACGCCTGCCTTTGCCCTCTTCCTGGGAAGTGCCAGAGATTAAATTGGTGCTGTGGGTCAGCAGGAAACCTGGGAGCATCCGGGGAGGTGCAGATGGCCTGAGTCATTGCCCACATGCCCTGCTCCCCCAAAAACCACCTGTGTTCCCTGGTGGGGGGGAGCACATTCCTGCTGTGCTTCTGGGCAATTGTGCTATTTATTTTTGGATGGGTGTGTGGCCTGTTGGGGGACTGTGAGGTGTCTGCCATGATCCCTGACCTCAGACTGTCCACCCACTGCTGGATCTGTGTTGCTGATGACTTTATCCATTTGTATTCCAGAGGATTGGCCTCTCTGGAGAGGGCACAGATGCTGTAGTCATCCTGGAAAAGACTCCTTTCCAGGAGGAGAAGATCCCAGACCTGCTGAAGAAGCCCATGCACGCAGAGCTGCAGATGCACAATGACATTTACTGCACCTTCTACCTGAGCCCTCCCCCGGAGCTGAGTGGTGAGTGCCCTGACTGCCCAGGGTGCTGGGAGGGCAGCTGGCATGCCAGGATATGGCTCCTGCCCATTCCAGAGGGGAGGGTGCACTGAGATGGGCACGTGCCACTGCTGCACCTGGCTGTGCCACCCCGCCTGTGGCTTGGTGACAGAGCACCCCTGGCCCAGTGGGGAGGTCAGTGGGTTGTTGCCATGTCTCGTGTGAGGCTTTGAATGCTGCCCTGTTTCATCCCCTTTTTCCCATGCCATGGCAGGGGGCTCAGCTGATGGGGCACTGAATGGCCATGCACTGATGACCTTGTACATGGAGGTGCAGAAAGGCTCAGGGGTGTGAGGGCTCCCTGTGGGTGCCTGTCAGTGCTCTCAGTGCTCTTGGGTGAGAAGGAGTTGTCTCCCTCCAGATTGTTTCTCTTGGAACAGTCTGCAGGGCACATGCAGGTAGCTATTCATCCCACGGTGGCATCTCATGGGCTTTTTTGTCACCTGGTAAGGACAGGCAGTTTCTATTGGGGGAGGATTTAAGTGCTGATAACCTCAAGTGCTGGGGCAGATGAGCCCCACCCCCCTGAAGATTTCACACATCTGTGTGTTACAAAACTGTTGATAACCAAGTATGACAAGGACTGATGGGCAGGCTGGGGAGCTGCAGTGGAAGGCTCTCACCCTGTGGAGGGGACTCTGGTCCCAGTGGGAAGGTGTCCTGCAGTGGTGGTGCTTTCCAGCTGCCACTGGAGAGCTGGGCTGGTCTTTGGGCACTTCAGTTTCACCACAAATCCCAGACTGTTTTGGGTTGGAAGGGACCTTAAAGCTTGTCCTGTTGCAGCCCTCTGCCATGGCAGAGACACCTTCCACTGTCCCAGGCTGCTCCCAGCCCCATCCAGCCTGGCCTTGGGCACTGCCAGGGATCCAGGGGCAGCCACAGCTGCTCTGGGGAGCCATTCCCTGTGTCCTGTCCCTCCATCCCTTGTCCCCAGTCCCTCTCCAGCTCTCCTGGAACCCATTTAGGTGCTGGCAGGGGCTCTCAGGTCTCCCCAGAGCCTTTTCCTCTCCAGGCTGAACACCCCCAGCTCTCCCAGCCTGTCTCCAGAGCAGAGCTGTTTCAATCAGGGCATCTCCATGGCCTCCTCTGGACTTGCTCCAGTGGCTCCATGTTCTTCCTGTGCTGAGGACCCCCGAGCTGGAGGCAGCCCTGCAGGTGGGGTCTCACCTGAGTGGAGCTGAATCACCTTCCACAATTAATTCCATGTGAATGCTGGTATATATTTAAATTCCAGACGTGCAGTGATAAATTCCACGTTGATGCTTTCATAAACACAACAGCCAAACAGGTTTAATAGTCAAAATTAATCTGAGTCCCTTAAGTAAGATGTTGTTACAGGGCCAAGTTAAATTTTCAGGATGTTTGATGTGCCTTTCCAAAAATGCTCTTGTTTTAGCTCTGTTCCCACGGTGTGGGAGGGAGCATTGTCTGGATTTGTCAGCTTGAATTGTGCAAAACTCCTTTCTCCTGTGAAGGACTCAAAATTAAAGATTTTGTTGTTACAAACTGTGAGTTTCAGTCTGAGGAAAACACCATAACACCACGGGTGTTGTTGGAAGACGTTAAAGCCCCTCTTTCTTAGCTGGGAAAGCTCCTGCTTGGGTGCCTGCTGTATTCCAGCCCTGCAGGAGTTGCAGTGATTCCCACGAGGTGGCATTGCAAGACTGAAATCCCCTGGGCTGCCTCCAGCTCAGCCCTGCTTTGCCTTCCTCACAGCACTTGTGTAAATTACACCACACTGCTCTGACAACAGAATTCCTTGTTTTGTTTAAGGCTTATGCCAGGTGCAAAACCCCTCCTGCATGTTTGAATGGGGAAGAAGCCTCTGGCTTTCTTCTGCTGAGCTTTATCTTTTTAATGACTTTTAAATCTGTCTTTAAAAGGTAATTTTTTGCAATATTTGTAATATTACCCAGTGGTGCGTCTTTGCTTCCCACCCCTCTCCTTGGCACCCCTTAAGTCGTTCTGGATGCTGAGCAGCCCCAAGCAGGAGATCAGGAGGGGGCTGTAGACCCTGGAGCTGCTGTCCAGGCTCCCCGAGTCAGAGTGGAGAGCAAGGAGGCTTCTTTTGAAGCAGTTAGCAGCAAATAGCTGTTTGGTGGGCACATTGCATGAGCTGCTGGTGAGCAGCTGGCACTGGGCAAACAGCCCTGTGTGTCACAGGGGGAAGGAAATCACCCTTTGGAGCTGAGTCAGCCCAAGGATGTAGTGATATGAGGAATGTGGGTTAAAAACCTAAACAGGAGGAATTGCCTGTAAGGGTTTGACTGACCTGGGATGTCCAGTGATAATTGGAGACCCAGGGAGTCCTTGCACAGGGTCTGTTGGCTCCTTAGTTGCAGGGTTAGAGTTACAGGGTTTTATCTCCTGGTCCTTGCAAGTTTACACTCGGGTACAAGATGCAGTAAAATATTTTGTAGAAAAGGCCAGACTTTGGCATTAAGGAGTTTTGTGGAACAGTCCTGTCTTGTGTGATGAAGGAATTTACCTGGGGGATTTCACAGCACCCTGGGCAGCTGAACCCTGCCACACTCAGCCTCTTGCTTCTGAGGTAAGATAGACCTCAAGACAGAGGAAGTGGTGACTGTGAGTAACTCGTGCTGATGCCATGAGGAGCTGCCTGCAGAGCGTGTTTCTCAATGCTGCCTCTGTGCTCCCAAGTACCAGGGGCTCTTCATTCAGCTGGAAATGGACACTCTTTCCCCACCTCCGTGTTGGCCAGCGGAGCAGGGAGGTCATCCTTCCCCTGTTCTTGGCAGTGGTGAGGCCTCACCTTGAGTGCTGTGTCCAGTTCTGGCCCCTCAGTTTGGGAAGGATGTGGAGGGTCCTGGAGAAGGTCCAGAGAAGGGCAATGAGGCTGATGAGGGGCTGGGAACACAAACCCTGTGAGGAAAGACTGAGGGAGCTGGGGCTGTTTAGCCTGGAGAAAAGGAGACGCGGGGGTGACCTTATCACTCTCTACAAAAGAGATAGGCCTCTTTTCCTTCCTGAAAGGAGGTTGTAGTGAGGTGGAGTTGGTCTCTTTCTCCATGCAGCACTGACAGAACCAGAGCATGCAGCCTTAAGCTGTGCCAGGGGAAATGCAGGTTGGATATCAGGATTTATTTATTTATTTCAGAAAGAGTGATAAAGCTCTGGAATGGCTGCCCAGGGAGGTGGTGCAGTCACCATCCCTGGGTGTGTTTAACAAAGCCTGGATGTGGC